GGGGGGGGAGATAAAGCATATCAGCTCATAATTACAATTAAGTGACGCACAGAGTGGTAATAAGAAGAAAACAGAAATCTGCAATGCAGCATTTTACTGCATGAAATAAAGGGACACGTGGCGGCATATTTGACGTATTACACTGATGCATGAAAAGAAGTGACAACTGTCAGTCAGTGACGAGGGACCCACGCGCAGTCATTCACATCAATTAAAGGGCATTGGTGGCTTTTGAGCCAGTGAGCATCTATTGACTGTCAAATGTTTTCATGAAGGAGCTCAAAAAGCAAAAGAGAAAGCAGGTGATGGAAGCTTTTACCACCAGGCCCCGTTTCCAACAGCGTCACTACGCTGTGCTTTTGTTATTTTAATTTCCTCTTGTGAGTTTACACAGCAAGTACATTGATTATGTGAAAAAGACGCACTGCTAAACAACAGAAAAGCTCTGTATCCTCTGATGTGCGTAATCCTGAGCCCCCCCCCTTCTAAACCCCAGGGCGTCAAACTTGAACTCCCCAGTCAAATCCAGTCGACAGATAAAAGTGAGAGCGCTGGAAGATGGATGGGGTAGAAAACAAGAATCATCTTCTAGGCGGCATTTCCTCTAACGTAAATGAAATGCAATTTAGAAAGCTGCTGAGGGGGACATTTTTCACTGAGCGAGGTAGTCTGTCATCCAGGCGGCTGACAGTTCGGTGCGGGGAAAATGTGGTGGCTGCCCTCTATGGGACGTAACGTGAAGGTGCATCGCTGAAAGCACAACGAAGCCAGGTAAATGCTGAGCAAGCGGAAGAGATTAGAGTGTTTAAAATAATGTCAAATCTCATTTTGATGAGAATCACAAGTTTCACATACTTTTCTTTTTAACATCTGGCACATTCATGCAGATATATATGAAATTGTATATGTACCTCTGGCAAAGAGTTTACGTGATTGGTTTGGTTTTCGTGTTTGTTTAGTTGTTAGTCAAAAAAATGAACTGACCGGCAAGAAATTTCTACCAGAGGTTCAGCGTGGCTCAACTTAGAAGTCAACGTGTAGAGCTGATGTGGATCCAGATCTACAGCTCCACTTTTTGGGAGGACTTTCTTTTAATTTCCATTGTGACACACAGCAAAACTGCTTTTTTAACCAGATCTTCACAAAGTGTTTTTGATGTCTTAAACAAGAAGAAACTATAAGAACATAATCGAGATCCAGATCTCCTTCGTGCATCCTGTGGAGAGAATTTTAAGATATTCTGGCCCTGCTCGTTTACCTGTGTAACAAGGACTTCGCTTGAAAACTGTGACGATTCTATGGTAACACTGGTGTCATTTACTGGAACGTCACCTGCTGAGAGAGAATAGGAGCTTTTTCACATCTTATAATGGAAAGATGTTTAACTTCTTGAAGCAGGAAACCACACAGCAAGCACACACACGTGCATTGGCTTAAAGGCTACTTTGATGCAAGCATGAAAAAAATAAAACTTCAAAAAACTATTTCAGTTAAAGAGAATCGTCTTACATTCTTCTGGCGTGCCGAACAAGTCCACAGATGCTTGACTGGAATCAACGCAGTCGGGGCTGGGGCATGCAGGTGGTAACCGATCTGCTGCATCAGCTGTTCCCTCGCATCTGTCTTCTTCACCGGAGTCGCTCCGATTCTGATTCCGAGCGGAGGGACGAGCTGATGTTCCAAAGATTTGTGTCAGAGTGGGTAATTCTTCTTTGGATCCACTGCTATCGGACTCGGATGAAGGCTCCAGTCTCTGAGCCTTTCTCTTCCTCCTCGGCTTCCTATTGATGGAGGAGTTGATGCTGACCTCTCCACTACCGTTGCTGTTAATCTCTGCTTTGTGGATAGTTTGGACCGGTGACGCGATAAGGTCATCAGGGGTCAAAGAAGACTCTGGAACTCCCCTATGTTCAGCTGTGTTGACTGAGGAACACTTTAAAGTGGCAGGTGCGTCATCTTTTATCCCCTTCACATCCTCACAGTCAGCCCGACTCTCTGTGTTTTGAGAGGCTTCCTTTAGCTCATCACATTCAACGGCTGTGAAGCGGAGACCAGAATCTACGACCTGAGGGACCACAGAAAGAGGAGGACTTTCTGCACCACGTTTTGCCTCCTTGTTAGGACTCAGTCCACTGCTAGGACTACTCCTGAAGCGACCTGAACAGTTTTGTTCAGAGATCAAGGCTTCCACTGCTGCCGGATCCCGTTTCTCAGAAACAGGTATTCTCGGCTGGACCGGTGAGTTGGAAGGAGAGATGAAATCATAAGAGGACTTGCTGGAGTCTCCTAAAGCCTTTTCTGCAGATTCAACACCAGAACAACCTTCATGTTTCTTCTCTGGTTCTTTGATGGCGTCTTTGTCTGAACCGCGGCTGCTTTTCACGTCTGGACTTCCAAGATAGAAAGATTTCCTTTTAGTTGCTTTGAAGCTCTTGAGAAGTTGCTCCGTGTCGAGCTCACTGTCGTTCCTGTCCTCCTCGTTTTCTGTTTCGGTACATTTAGTTTTACAAACCGAGGCCTGTGACCGAATACTGTTTTGATTGTCACTTTCAACCACGGCTGCATCATCTAGCTGAGCAGAGCCTGAGGCAGCATTTAACTCTTTAACAGCTTCTGTTGGCCTCAGATTCGATGTTCTCTCAGCACACTCTATGTTTTCAATCTCTCCTATGTCTTCATTATAAACACATCCATTTTTTTTAGCTGACTTTACCACCTTATTTACATCATCAAGCGCTTCGCCATTAGCATGTTCCGGCTGCTTTGCCACACTGCTGTTTCCTTCAGTTGCCTTAGCTTTCTCGCTCGCCTGCTTGTGACCCTCCTGGACTTCCTCAGCAAACAGCTGAAGTCTTCTGCTTCTCCTACTGCTCTTAATGACAGGAGTTACTTGGTCCTCGCTGCTAGGGTAATTCTCAATTTGAACCTGAACTTCTTCTGCTCTCATTCTAATAACAGGGCTGGTTTCTCCATTCTGAACTCCAACGAGGACAAGGGGTTTCGGCACTCTGGAGGGCTTGCCTTTTTCGGATCTTGTGTTTCTACCTTTCCTTTTGTCAGTTTTCTTTTGCTCACCACCCTCTGATTTTGCCCGAGCTTGCTCTTGTAAGTCGCTGTCTACCTGTTGCAGAACGTTGCACGTCCTTTTCCTCGTCTTCCTCCCCAGTTGTTGTTCTACATTATCCGGCACAACACTGGAAACGTCATCTCTGCCTCTGTTTTGGTGACTTTCTGGAAAGTTGTTGAACTCGTCCGCATGCATGCCTGTATCAATTTCTGTCCCGATCTCCATCTGTTCTGCTGATTTACAAATGCCACTGCCATCATTTATTTCTTCTGTCATTTGCTGCTCACCCTCCACGTTACTTTCGTTTATTTTTGCAAAAGAAGCAAAACCGTTTTCCTCTCTAACACTGGAAGCATCTTCACTCTTCAATATTTCTTCAGCTATCGATGGCTCTGTAAAAACTTTAAGCGGAGGAGAGACGTTCCTGTTCACTTTTCGTCTGTAGACAGCCCCAAACACCTGCTCTTCGAGGGCTTTGGCCCGCTCTTCTTTCTTCGGATTCAGTTCACTGTTGCATTGCCTGATATCTATTGTCGAAGCGGAGGAACAGCTGTCAGAGTCATCAGAGTTTTCATCTGGTTTTTCTAACTCAAGACTTCCTTCAGCTGGAACTTTCATGAGCCACTCTGCAACCTTCTCTAAACTTTTCTTACGCTTATGGTCAAGGATCTTGTCGGGCTCCACATCTTTTTTCTGCTTCTTCCTCGAGGACTTTCTTTGGGATTGGTCTTCGTTTTCATCTGGAATGAATGATGAATAAAGGGAGGCATTCTCCCGGCTCCTTTTGCCTCTATTCCTACGCGTTTTTGAAGTATTCGCCACAACGTCTGACATTTCAGCTTTCACTGGTTCCCTGTTGTCTGTGGGGCTGGACATTTTCTTGTCAGACGTTAGTGGAGCATCACCAAGCCCGCTATCCAGAGCTTCATTTTCTGTCGTCAAAGGAGCGGAATCTTCAAGCCCCATGAGTCTTGCAAATCCATTCCGGGCTGTTACAGAAAAAAAACAGTATAAGAAAATCAGGTTCATTCGCAAGCTTTGATTAAGTCATATTCACTTCACATCCATCTCTTTACTCTGTCCTCTGTAAGGACTTTACACATATTTCTTTTTCCCAACCCAAAGAAAAAGGTGGTAGAAATGCTGATATCACACTGTGGGCAGCAAATATACACCTTAGTAGTGTATGTTACACCAAAGCACTGGCAGTAATGTGAGTAATATGACAATTGATTTGAGGAAGATTTCACCTGCAATAGTTGAGGAGTGGGATTCTGGAAGATCACCAAAGAGTGCATTTTGTTCATTGTCAATGTCAGTGCCACATGCATCTCCAGATGTCAGAGCTCCTTTAGTAGTTTCTGCACCTGTGACACTGGATAGAAGAAAATACGCAACGCTGTATCTGAGCAGACTGAGTCAATAAATGACCGTTACTGTGAAAAATAAATCTTAATTGTTCCTACCCTGCACATCGCCCTTGCTGGGATGTTCCAGTGAAGTCTGAAAATGTATAGATGTAATGTTAACAGGTGACATAATGCAAGCCAATTCCATAACATCATTTTAGAAAGTCTGTGATATAACCTTACAGTTTGTGCCAGTGTCATGCTCATATGCTTGGATCATGTCCTGCAAACCAGCGACAAGTTTCTGAAACCCAGGGCTCTCCTGTAAGCTCCTGTAAGCAGAAAAACAATTACTAGGAGCGTTCACGTATTATAATACATGTTAAACCATCTGCATATATATTCTGTCCAACCTTTTGGTGACTGTGCTTTTACACACGGGGCAGTTGGCTTTGTTTTGTTTGGATTTGTCCAAAAGTTTCATCATGCAAAATCTGGTAGAAAAAGAGAGCTAAAGTCATAAGCATGAAGCCTGTGCATATTTAACAGAAGCTTTTCAGTTAAGAAGACACTTACTTGCAGAATTGATGGTCACACTTAGTAGATACCGGAGCAGTCATTAAATCCAAGCTATAGACAAAAGAACACCTAAGTGAAAAAACAATCTAAATCTTGTAAAAATAAATAAATAAATACTACAAAAGAAGAAGAATGATTTTATATATTATTAACACAGGCTCTTATTCTAAATAATGCTCACCAAATGGGACACTGCAGAGTCTCCCAAAGCGCCGAAATCCCTTTCTTGACATCTGAGACTTTTGGGGTTTTCATGGTGATTCTAAAAGACTAAGAGATAAAAATCTGTGTACACATTACTGTGATCAGCATCTATAACACATTAATATCAAGGTTAGTTGTATTTATCCCTGTGTCAGAGAGGCATTCTTGTGCAGGGTATACCCTGCTGCTCGCCCTGTGGCAGCTGGGATGGGCCCCAGCCCCCGCCACGAATGGATGGATGGCACATTTAATCACACGTAAATCAATGTGTTTACCATAAACGTTTCTCTGTAGCTCTACAATGTCTTCATACAATAAAAAGCAAAACACAACTAAAAAAAATAGAAAGAAAATACAAATGAACACAATTATTAACTGTAGGGCTGTGACAATTTAAAGATTTCGACCTCACTTGTAAATGACCTGAGATCAGCAGGCAGCTTGTTCCAAGAAGAGGAAAACAGTAACTGAATGCACCTTCCGCACACTTCCGCACACTTAGATCTAATTCTGGGAACGGTTAAAAGATATCCCCCTGTTTACCTGAGGGTTACAGACAATGAGCAAGTCAGAGATGTACTGGGAGGTAATGAAGTGGCTTCAGTACTGGGGTAGCACGTTCAAGCTTCTATGCATGTGCAAGGAATTTGTCTGAGTCATTCTGAATGAGATGAAGTCCAAAGAGTTCTACCGATGACTCGGATGATCCTGCAAATAAAATCCAACCTGCTTGGCATGAATGCATGGAGCCTACCTTTACAACCTATTGTTGACTGAATGTTTAACTATTCATTGCGTGTACTTTGCTCACTGTACACACAGCATGCACTGTTAGCTTGGCAGATATCTGGACAATAGGAGGATAGATTCGGTTATGTTGCAGAAAATCATGTTGTCTGAGACGCGATGTTTTATTTGTACTGGGCTCAGTGGAAACCGCACAACTATTTTCTCATCAATTGAATAAGTTATTATATAAATGGCACAAGTGCTTCAATTATACACAAAAAGTAGTCTGCCTGCTGATATTAAAGCATCATTACGTTGAAAACAGCGACCACGCAATGAAGCGGCATTGTGAAGTCAGTCAAAAGCCACTGATTACATATATTGGCAACTTTATAAAACACCGTTTAATGTTCGTACACGGTCGCTTAAAGTAGTTAAATCTCGACATCAGGCTGGCTAGCTGTCTCTGTTTTGGGGGTGTAACTTACATAACTAGCTCTGTTCTGAAACTTCTGAGACTCGGACAATCGACAAAAACACCCCGACAGACTAACATCTCATAAGAAGAAACAAATCGCGCAAGTAAATAACTGTACATATCCATAAATATTGCTAAAACTACCTGTTTTCTTGCAGTTTGGAGCCTCCAACATGAGAATCATCCGCTTCAGTTTTCCCGCAACTACCGTCTTCTTCTGCTTTGATTGAAAAGATGTTTTGTATTTAATGTAACAGCGCCCCCTATTTGACTGGAGAGTAAACCACACAAACGCAAACGCACACGCACACAGCTGTGTTTCACAGTTTTCCAGACTCCTGGACTGATGGGACAGTATTCAAGGCAAATGAACACTAAGGAAGGAAAAAGGACTTATAACGGTTGGCTAGACAAAGAGCTGGAAAGGATGTGCAGCAGGTTAAGTGATTGAAGATAGAGATGGACATGTGCTAACCAGTGAAGAGAGCGTGCTGGGAAGATGGAAGGTGTACTTTGAGGAGATGAAAAGAGAAGAGAAAGAAAAAGAAAAAGGAGGATAGGTCAAGGACAGTTAATGAATCATGAAGCGAAGAGGATTAGTAAGTAGAAGTAAGGGCTGCATGATGAGTAGAAAGGCATTTGTCCTGATGTCATAGCTGTAGAAGTATGGAGCTATCTAAGAGAACGGGAAGTGCCTGGAGTTATGTACTAATCTCGAGTTTCAAGAACAAGAATGTTGTGCAGAGTTGTAGCTGATGATCCATACGCTGAAGCTCTGGGAAAGAATTGTTGAAGCTAAGTTAAGAGGACAGCTGACGATCAGTGAGCAGCGGCATGGCTTCATGTTGAGAAAGAGCACTACAGATGCAATGTTTATTTTGAGAGTATTGATGGACAAGTACCTAAAGGTCAGAAGGAGCTGCGCTGAGGATTTGTGTACCTAAAGAAGGCATATGATAGTTTGCCGAATATAAAAAATGATACTGCATGAGGAAGCCGGGAGTAGCTGAGAAGTATGTGTGATGCAGGACATGTATGAGGACAGTGAGACAGTGATGAAGAGTGACAGATGGATTCAAGATGGGGGATCACATGACATTGTGATCTGGATTGAAAGCAGGGAGCAGGTGAAAGAGAGTCTAGAGAGGACAAGGTATGCTCTGGACAGATGTTGGATGAAAATTAGAGAATGCTAGGGACAGGATGAGGAATCAGGAGTCAGATTATGTACTGTGGCCAAAAGACGTTTCCATTGAAAAACAATGTGTTTGTAACTTGCATGCTTTGGCTTTGAAAAACAGACTCTTAAATGCTATATAATATATTGTTGTGTAAAAGAGGGGTAGATGACAATCAGTTAAATTACCTGAGCAGAAGTGTTTCTCAGCAGGTGGCTAAAAGCAGCAGCTTTTTATCCCTCATTCATTTACTTTCACTGGGTGATATAATCTGATTTGCTGTATTTTCTATTTACCAGTACTGACATGTACATTTTTTAGTAATGCTAAAAGCACATGTTATGTTAAATAACAGTTGACAGTGTTAATAAAATTACCATTCACACGCAAAGCAAATAAAGTAGATTTGCTTTGGTGTATCTATATAACCTTGATAAAAAAAAAAATGGTTACAGCGGGGGTCTGTCTCCTTTTATCTGCATTTATAGGATCCCATTTTTTTGGCAGCCGGGAGTGATCAAATCAAATATTTGCAGTGGCAATGAAATGTCTTAATCAGATATTAGTTTGTGACCACAAAGCATCAGATTGAGCTGTAATAAAACTGCAATATAAGAATGATATATTCTATAGAGAATTATATAATTTTATATTAGTTATTAACTATCTTTGAAGTAAACCTTTCAGTGACAGGCTCCTGCATCCACGGTGTGTAAAGGTCTTTCCTCCCAGCCACCGTTAGACCACATGTATACTTACATATGTTAATACAAACATACACACATTGGGGACTGATAAACAAATCTGCACTGGTATCCAGTCAGTAATATTCAACTCTCCTCTCTCTCTCTCTCTCTCTCTCTCTCTCTCTCTCTCTCTCTCTCTATGTGTGTGTATGTCTTTGTGGTTAAAATTGTACTTCTGTTTTGTATAGTGTACATTTTTCTGTTGTTGTGTAGTATTCTTGGGATTGCTCAAGCTGCATCTATCTATTATCAATTTTTATCAATCTATATCTATTTATTCTACTCTGTCCAGCAATAAATGCGAAATAATAAACAATAAAACATTACAGCTGTAATAATGTGAATATAGCAACGACGGGACTGATAAAGTATATCTTAATATTAATACGTTTACTAATGATAAATCACAGTAACACAAGGGCTCTTGCTTTCTCACGTGACTAACTTTTAACATGACGTCAAAACCGCCGTAAACAACAATAAGGAAGTGGAGGCGGGATGGAGTCCCTTTAGGACGCAGCATTAGGATTATAATGCTGTAGCGTTTAATTATCACACACGACAGTGAGTCTCTTTTGTGCTTTTACACCCTGGTTGTATGCTACACAAAAACTACCTGCCAAACTTATGGTTTGGCTGTACCCAACCTGCTGTTAGCAAGTGTTTAGCCAAACAGCTAACTAGCTAGCAAGTAAACGGTGACTAGACAAGTGTTTATGCGCTGCTTTTAACCTTCGTCACTAGTCGAAGCGTTCCTACATGAGGAGATAGTCGTTAATTTTAAATGAAACGTGGTTTTACTTATTAACTTGTTTTTTGTTTTTAGCCAGCGATGGAGGGCTCCAAAACGTCGAGCACCACCATGCAGGTGAGCTTTGTGTGTCAGCGCTGCTCCCAGCCGCTGAAACTGGACACATCCTTCAATGTTCTCGATCGGGTCACCATCCAGGAGCTTATTGGTATGTTTAATCGCCGTATTTGATGTTGAACCTGCTCCATTTGTGGCCCTATGTATGACCTCTTTCCTCCTCTTCCTCGTCAGCTCCAATAGTCTCAGTGACCCCCAGCAAACAGTCTGACAACAGCGGAGTGGAGACGGCACCAGAGGTAGGTTAATGCCGAGCTGGAAACTGCTCTGTGTAATACATTATTAAAAAGAAAAAGTAAAGGATTTTTAATCAAAGTATAATCAAAGCCAATGAAACTTCAGACTTTCTGATCTATTTGTGGGAGGAGCAGTCTAACTGCGTCAGGCATTCATTGGAGCAGATGGGGACTATATAAACTGAGTACCATTAAGAGTTGCTGCAAATAAATTTAAGCAAAATGGACTAGCTCATGCTACTTTTTTCAGTTTGATTTTCATGTGTTTTTGAAATCAGGCCTCTGAAGAATACCAGATAATTTTCATTTACGTAAAAAGATGTGGCATGATTATATCCAGTTATTTTCCTCCATTGAAATCTGATATGTTTTCAAAGTTTTCCTTTTTTTTGCGCAGTGTATAAAGGCTGTATTAGCTCTCTGTCTCTCCTGGAATAACTTATAAATGGACTTGAGAGTCTCATTGCTGTTTACTGTGTGTAGAGGATGTACTACTGAATAGTGTGATTGCTTTTAGTGTTGTGTTGTCTCATTTGTATTCCCTCAGTTACAGTTACAGATACAGATGTATCTGGTGGTGCTGTTTGTTATAACTGTATTAAGTGCTATTCTGGCCCTGTCACTCTTGGTTTTCAAAGACGAAAAACAAATAATTATTTCAGTTTTATGTGAAAATATGCTGTTGGAAAATGTGTTTGACTCTTAGACTTGGAATCTTTTCACAGGAAACGTTTGTTGAAAACAAGCAGGATGGAGTTTCGAGAAAATACATCCCTCCTGCACGGTGAGCACCCAACTCTTTTTTGTTTTTTTTGTTTTTTTACCTGCATGTCCAACAAAGCTGACAGAATTGCTTAATCTTGAATGGCGTGCTTTTCCTCAGAATGATGTCAACAGAGAGCGCCAACAGCTTCACACTCATTGGAGATGCATCTGATGGCGGCACCATGGAAAACCTTAGTCGTAGACTGAAGGTGATACTTTTACTGTCGGAGAGTAAAGACATTTAGGCTCAGTTATGTCAGTCTACTTGAAAACATCCCCACATCGTGTGGGTGCTGAGATTTATGTTCATGCATTGATTTCACGGTGTATTATCTGTGTGACAAAACCAAATAAGCTTTGCCTCTGATCATATCCCACCAAGGTAACCAGTGACCTGTTCGACATCATGTCGGGCCAGACAGATGTGGACCACCCACTGTGCGAGGAATGTACCGACACTCTGCTGGACCACCTAGACACGCAGCTCAACATCACAGAGAACGAATGCCAGAATTACAAGTGAGCACAAGAATGAGGATCCAGCCTAAGCAGCTGCCCAGTACTGAGAACCACTTGAAGTGCTGATTCCAAATGTTTGTGAATGTATTTCTAGGCAGTGCCTGGAGCTGCTATCGCACCTGCAGGTGGAGGATGAGGAGACCCTGTTGGCAGAGCTACAGCAGCTCAAAGAGGATGAGGAAAAACTGGTTCAGGAGCTGGAGGCTGTGGAGGAGCAGAGGGCTACTGTAGCCCAGGACCTGGCCCAGAGCAGGATCCAAGCTCAGCAGCTCGACACAGAGGAGCTACAGTGAGTGAGCTAGCAGTGGTGTAGACAGGTGATGGGTGTATTTTAAATGATACAGCACCTAACTCCTCTGTCTTCCCCTTTCTAAAGATACCAGAAGGAGTACAGCGAGTTTAAACGGCAGCAGCTAGAGCTGGATGATGAGCTCAAGAGTGTTGATAACCAGATGCGCTACTGCCAGATTCAGCTAGACCGCCTGAAAAAGACCAACGTTTTCAATGCTACATTTCACATCTGGTACACACACACAAACACATGGTGGCAAACACATTGTTGTGTATGCTAAGAAATAATTTAGGTCCTTAAATCAATGTTGACTTTCAAATCTTTAACACAGACTATGAGACGAGCCTATTGGCTGAGAATCCGACTCGTTTCTCCTCTTTTTCCAGGCACAGCGGCCAGTTTGGTACCATCAACAACTTCCGCCTGGGCCGACTCCCCAGCGTCCCGGTGGAGTGGAACGAGATCAACGCAGCCTGGGGACAGACGGTGCTTCTGCTGCACGCTCTCGCCAACAAAATGGGGCTGCGCTTTCAGAGGTACACGCTTAATTTAACTTGCTTTCTTCACCATTTGCTGTTGAGCTTAAAACACACTCGCCAGCCCCTTTATTAGGTACAGATTGTCAGTATAATGTTGGACCCTCTTTTTTGTGGCATAGATTCAACAAGGTACTGGTAACATTCATTGGCTATTTTGGTCCATATTGACATGATAGCGTCACATGGTTCCTGTTGCTTGTCGGCTACATGATGGAAGTCTTCTTGGATGATCTTTGATTACGATCTGGTGACTGTGGAGGCCATTTGTGTATAGTGAACTCATTGATATGTTTAAGATTATTTGAGGTTTTCACATGGAGCTTTATGCTGATGGAAGCAGCTGTCAGTAACTGTGGATATAGTCAGCAACAGTGGAGCGTTGAAAAGGATATACCAAACACCTCAAGGACAGTGCTGCAGCAGCTTGAGAGAGAGAGAGATGGAGAGATGGGATGAATTTTTAATTTTGTCTTTTTAAAACCAACCATAGACATGGTGATCTGGGACGAAAATCTCAGTAGATCAGCAGTTTCAAAAATAGTCAGACTAGGCTGTCTGGCACCAAGAAGCACATCACGTTTAAAGTCTCTTAAATCACTTTTCTTTCTAATTCTGATGCTCAGCGAGAACTTCGCCAGGTTTTCTTTACCATATCTACATGCCTACATAGCTTTATTACATCACTTACTTGGTTTCTTACAGATTTACATTCTCTCAATAATGTTTGCAAATCATGTTTTAGTTGACAAGATTGAATTATTCGCTATTATTTTGTCCTGGAATGATAATTTTCTTGTAATTTGCTGTGCTCATTGTCTGTCTAAATGTCTTAGTTCTGTAACCTTAATGAATCCCAGCCTCGAATCACTAAAATTTAGTGCGGTTTCCAGTTAATCTTCTGTTAGTCTGAAGTGCAATAAACTAGCTCAGACCCTTTATTGTCCCCTCAGATATCGTCTTGTCCCATATGGAAACCACTCATACTTGGAGTCACTGACAGACAAGTCAAAGGTAGTTCATTCTTACACCCGGCTCTCCTGTGCTTATTTAAACAGTTGTCCAGGTTCTTATTCTGCCATTTTTTGTCTACCATTGTGTTTTCAGGAGCTCCCACTGTACTGCTCAGGTGGACTGAGGTTCTTCTGGGACAATAAGTTCGATCATGCCATGGTGGCCTTCCTGGACTGTGTCCAACAGTTCAAAGAGGAGGTGGAAAAAGGAGACACTGGCTTCTGCCTCCCCTACAGGTCAGATATCAGCATTATGTGTGTATTGTACATTTCTGTGTGCTCATTGTGTAGCACATCTATGGGCCATTTAAAATGAATTTATAAATATACATGTACCGGTAGTTTGAATGTAAATTCTGGTCCAATGTCAGCCCTATTCTACACAAGTGAACCTTTATTATTAGCATCTGAGTCAAATAAGCAAGTTTAGGCAAGCTTCGACCCCACACTCGGAACCAACGTGAAAATCTACACTTTAGTTGTTCCCTGCTAGCACATCAAGGTTGGAATATCCCAAATCATATTCATTCTTTAACAGACTGATCCTTCATAAACTTAAACTCTGTACTGTGAATACAGACATGTGGCCTTTGGTTCAATGTAAGCAAATCGGGGAAACTTTGGATACTCCGGTGTAATAAGCATTTCAGCCTCTGTGAACATATTAAATTTGTGACTCAGGAATGTTACATTTCCCAGGTTTTTGATTTAAATTCAGATTCAGTGTTATATTTATAAACTTAGAAACTAGTCTGACTTTAACTTTTTTTTCTCCCTCATACCTCAGAATGGATGTGGAGAAGGGCAAGATCGAAGATACGGGTGGCAGCGGAGGCTCCTACTCCATCAAAACTCAGTTTAACTCTGAGGAGCAGTGGACGAAAGCGCTCAAGTTTATGTTAACCAATCTGAAGTGGGGACTGGCTTGGGTTACCTCACAGTTCTACAACAGATAAAGCAGCTGGACAGTGTCAATATTTGATTAGTCACATTCACATCTGTTGAAGGAATATCATGCAATATATATTTGGATACTTTAGCCAAAGGAAAAGAATGGTTAAGTCTGCACTATACAGCAAAAAGCTTTGAGTGATATCGAGCCCTTTTTTTTTTTAACAAGTTACAGAAAATCCATTAAAGTCTATTTTGCTGCAACAGGGAGATTTAAAATTGCTGGTTCACTAAAAATAAAGAAAATTAATACAGTTGTAGATATCCCCCTCAAATTAAGCAGGATGATGTTTCATTTAGTTCTTGCCTGCTTTGTTAATACCACGATATGCTTTCAATATTTCCAAGTTTGATGTATTGTCCACTTCCTGTTGCCCCTCACCTTTTAAAATTTAAAGGCTGTGTGATAGTTGGAGTAGATTTTAGTATTCAACAAGTCAGTATTTCATTAACATTGAATGCAATTACCAGATTTATCTTACACATAACTGCTGGAGGTGCACTGATGCTTCAGCCTTGTGTTCATACTCTGTACCAAATGACTTAATAAAACTGTTTGGAAGAAAATATCTGGAGCTTTTTTTTTTTTAAGATTGCATATATTAAATCACATTGATGTTTGAACTTAATATAAAAAAAGTTTGCACAATTTCCCAAAATGAAGCGAGACACCACACAGTTAACCAAATATTCTTTTGTTTTTTTAATGGTTTCATCAATTCAGTTTAATCTTACCTCGCATCACAACAATCACTCAGTCACCACCCACACACACCATTCAAGTTTAACAGCATTAGAGGTGGGGGTGAATCTCATGGAAAAATATGGACTTAACAATTAAAATAAGCTGAATTCCAGTTATCAAGTAAAATATTTCAAATTGGTCAAACAAGTCAGTCTTCTAGAGTCAGCCCTCTTCTGTGTCAAGTCATTTATGACCTTTTAAAGAAGCCACGTCATGACGACAGGCCTCGAACTTTGGTCATCAGTCACTCCTCATCACTCGGAGCCCTTCCTAAAAAAAAAGTTCCAGGTTCAATTCTATCAGAACACATTTAAAACGGACAACTACTAATCTGAAAATACTTTGATAGACGATGTATTTCAAGCAGTATGGGGTGACATTTAATTTATGCTTCCTCTTCAAAGCCTTTTACGAGTATAGGCAAGAGATTTTCCACAGATAGCATACCTCTGAGCCTGTCACAGTTGTGCAATTTTTCAGGTGCTTCATATATTCGTCATGTAAAAAAGCCTCTTGAAATGAGCCAAAGTTTTGTTAGTGCATGCATATGGGCAATTCTTTGGGTTCTACTGAGCCCGCAGCCAGAGGCTGGCACATTTACACCACTTGAATAACAGTGGTGGGCACATATTCTACTACAACGCCACACCATAGATTATTTTGGTTCCATTCACTCTTTTAAGATGCCTCCTTCCCATCATGCGCTCTGCTTTCTTGCCATGAAGAGAGCAAAGGAGGAGCTCCATCAAGGGTGTAACGTCTCCACGTGGCTTTGGAGTTTTGTTCTAGTTTCTTTCAGCTAGCTCGAATTGGAGGCACTGCTGCTGTAGCAGCTGGAGGTGGAAGGAATGGGAGGTGCTGGAGGTGTGCTGCTGCCCAGGGCTTTTCGGATGTGGGGCATGAGGAAGGGGTCACTGGCCAACTGCAGCACATCCACCCTGTCTTCTTTGTGGTAAGCCAGGCAACGTCGAATGAAGGCCTGTGAAGGGAAACCGTGACAAAAAGTGACTCATTATAGCTGAACACACTTTTTTTTTTTTTTTTTTTTTTTAATTCTCAGGCTAACTGCTGTTCTGTTAATGCAACATATGTAATGCACTGTGCAAATAGTTATGCCAACTGGTCAACGAGTTTGTTGCAGTTTCAAAGAAATGAATACCAGACCTTTGCTTCTGTGGTGACCGCAGGTTTGGGGGGAAACTGCACCTCGGTGGCTTTTAGTATCGTGTTTTCTTGTAGGATATCCTGCTGCGACTGGTTATGACCAAACGGCTTGAAAAAGATCAAGTTACAGACTTGTTAAGTTCATTTATTCAAAAACAAAACAGAAACCTGACAACTACCGGTACTGTAATATAGGTTAGTGGTTACCTTGCGTCCATACAAGCTCTGGTAGAAGATGACCCCTACTGACCAAACGTCCACTTTGTTGGATATTTTAGGGGGCTCCTTGCCCACTACAAAGCACTCAGGTGGTAGATACCTGTAAGTAAGACAAACAAATAACAAATCAGAGAAAAAAAGTTTTTTTCTGATCTTTCTTTATTCTCAAACTGCTTGCTGAATACAGAATTAAAATTGAGTTAGCAGCATTACTGTGAAACCGTTGCACATCTGCTAAACCTGCGTAGTCATCCTGGTTGCTTGGTGACTAAATACAGTGCCATGTGTCTATGTGTACCAGTAGGTCCCTGCTCCCTGTGAGGTCAGCTCCATGCCATCTGCAGAGTTGTAGCTGTCATCGTCCATGATCTTGGACAGACCAAAATCGGTGATCTTTATCTCTCCGCAAGCTGTGCCGTTGACCAACAGGATGTTCCCTGGTGACAGAACACGTAAAATGAGGGTTCACAAGCATCACGAGTCCTACACTGTAAACATAGCCAGAGATCTTTTATGTTTAACTGATTTAGAATAGAAAACACATTTGTGTGTTGCCCATAAAACTCAGTGAGATTACCAGGCTTGAGGTCGTAGTGTATGATGGGTGGCCGAATCTGATTGAGGTACTTGAGGGCATTGACGAGCTGCATGACGATGGAGCGGCCCTCCTTCTCCGTCATCGATTTGTTCTGCTTCAAGTAGAAATCCAGGTCATTGCCTTCACAGTACTCGAGTACTGTGCAGAATCTGCACCAGATTAGATAACACATGGGTTAACTGTGAAGGCGTCAATGATCACCTACACGTTCAAACATATTCTAAGATGCCTGTTGTGATAAAAAGTGATAATATCAGCAACACTTTCCAAGTTTACAAAGGACATGAACAAAAAAAAGATCATGTGCATCTGCCAAATTATTATTACTGGAAATCTATAGATTCATTTTATGGTATTCAAATATTCAAAGCTTCTGCTTTCCATTTCTTTTCATCAAACAAAGCAGTTTTAACATTTTCTAGTATTTACTATGAAAAAAAAAAAAAAAGTATCATTGTTAATAAGTAATTCTTAAATATTGTCACCTAAGGCTCTCATCACCTCCATAGCCACTGCCACAGACTACAAACTACACAGAACAAACTTCCAACTGAAACCCAAGCTCTTAAGCATCCATAATAACTACAGATGAGAAAATAAAAATTGAAGTTTTTGCCCTGAACACTACCGAATAACAAACACTTATAGATAATCATCGCATTCGCATTAGTGCCACATCGTGAGCTTTATGTGAAATGAAGCACTTACGAGTCTGTGTTGAGCGAGAAATAGTCGTAAAGTTTCACTATTCTAGGATGATCGAGTTCTTTGTGGATTCTGTATTCTCTACAGGCGTGTCTGCAACGAAAAAAAATTAATGAGTCCGAATTAATCACTTGAGTATAAATAAAAGAAATATTTCCGATCACACAATAACACGTAGAGAGCACATTTACAGAGCGGCAGACTCACTTGTGGTAGTTTTCCTTCTTCTCTTCCCTCCAGTTCTTGTTGAGTTGATGGATTTTAATGGCCACGTACCTCTGCTCTGTGAAATCAAAAGCCTGTAAAAAAAAAAAAAAAGAAGGTACATTTCACATCAATACAAAGCAGCTTGAATAGCCTGAATTTCCCATTGAATTCTCTACAGTAGCTGTTTACTGCATACAGAAGTGTTGCAAGACTTATCTTCCTGTACGTCACTCAAAGTTTAGAAAACAAAGAAGGAACAAAAAAGGTATTCATGAGGAATGGAAACCAAGTGAATAGCACTGGCTTACCTTAAAAACTTCACTAAAGCCACCTCTTCCAAGGAGCTGTAACAGCAGATATCGGTCATTCAGTGTGGGGTGGTCTTTAAATCTACAAAGGAACACGTTGTTAAAGTATTTGTTGCTTTAAAAAGACACCACAGAGCTTGAGTAGGGCATGTTAAACTGGGATGATACGTACTGCGAGTTGTCCTCATTATGGATTCTCTTAAGCTCTCGAATGTGCAGATTTCTCACACGCTCCAACTGGTCCAGCTCTGCATGGATCTCTGCTTCTTCCTGCATACAAGTGCAGAGATTTATCACCTACCTCATCGTTTGAACGGGTGACTCCAAAAGAAAGAAAAAAAAAAAAGTGGGAAAAACAACAACAAAAGCAAAAAGAAACATTGGCACCTTTTTAAGATGACCGATTCGAAGTTTGAAGATCTCCTCTTGCTCGCGATACTCTGCCAGTGACAACCTGTGAGAGATCAGAGAGCCAGAAATGCATTATTAAATAAGAAATAAACAAGATATTAAAAACAGAAAGCAAAGAAAACGTGAGATTTTACTGAAGAAAATATGTTAAATGTCTAAATAATTGTGATCTACAGAGTTAAATATACAGCATTTGACCTCTTACTAAATTTTTTTCACCCAATGCTGGTTCAGGTTAACGGCTTACTGACAGCCATCAATACCACTCACCACAAAACTGCATGACTGGCCCCCCACAGACCAGTAAACCTCATTATATTCAGGCTACAAGCTTATTAATCCACTATTTATTACACAATAAAGTGATCTGCTCCTTGTAACCGTACGTTTCACTCTCTTGGCCGTTGCTTCTGCTTTTTCGTTTGTTGTGCTCCAGGTTGGGTGGAAGTGTTTGGGCCATGGAGGGAGGTTTCCTCTTCCCCAGCAGCTTCCTCTGCCTCTCAATGTCCTCCCGTTGAGAGTTGATTCGCTCTTGCTGCCTACAACATGCAGGGACAATCTGGCGTAAGCATTTCTGTATGCTGAATAGAAAAAATAAATAAATAAATAACAATTTAAATGTACGCTTGTGCCCATTTGTGTTCTGACTTGATGAGATTCTGGAAGGCATATCCATCTGTCCACTGCTCAGTGAAGGAAGCTCCGTGGCGTACGGTGGTGAAGTGACCCAGGCGTAGACGGTCCTGCATGCTCTTGTCCCTGCATGCCATCTTCTCCTGTCTTGACTTCAAACACAAATAAAGAAA